TTGAACCCCGCTGCCCCCCCCCCCCCCCGGCAAGCCTAAACCAACCCGTGTTTGTGCCTGCTCCGTCTTGTTTACTCAACCACGCTGACTCTCGTTGCTTCGCAGATGTTTCATTTCCGAGCTCCCTCACATGCAAGACAGCTTTGTGGACAAGCTTCTGGACCTGATGCCTCGGCTGGTCACCTCCAAGCCTTCGGAAGTGGTGAAGATCCTCCAGGCCACCTTGCGGCAGAGTAGTTTCCTTCGCCTTCCTCTTCCTGAGAAGGTGCGTGTCTTGTGGAGAAAGGGGGACGCTTCCACACTGAAGGTGGGAGGTTGGCATCACGGACGAGACCGGGACTGAACCAAAACTCACACACCTCCTGGATTTGGATGGGTGAACAACAGTTGTCAGTATCATGTCCAGTATGTCTGTGCAGGTGGAGGCTCGCTACAGCAGCCTGATCAGTTCCTGGATCCATGCAGGTGGGCATATGAGCAGCTAGAGATTGGGACGAACCTTGATTCGGAAATTTGTGCTGGTTTGTCCGCACGGCACCACAGGTGATGTGCATTCCCTTCCACCGCCCCTCCAGCCAATGACCCACTCACCAGTCTGAGTGTGCCCCTCTTTGCTTCCTCTGCGGTTGTTTGACCAGTCCCTAGCAGGAGCACATGGAGTTGCCTGCCTTACCTCCTTGTCTGAGTGGGTGATCAGCCGAGGTCAGCCAAGGAGGTGGGGCAGGGAAACCTGTTCTCCTGTCAGGGACTGGTTGAACAGCTGGAGAGGAGGAGGACAGGAGCGCACACTGGCTGGTGAGTGGGGGATCCAGCCAGGAAAGCAGGCGGAGAGAGCACACAGGACCTGTGGTGCTGTGTGCACAAGCCAACACAAACCTCCGAACCAAGGCTTGCACCCATTTCTGTTAGCAGCACCTTAGCCAATCACCCCGGCCTTTTTCACAGTTGAGAGTTCCATGCACATAAATATGGAACAGGAGACTGGCCAGTATTCCATGTCCTCACCAATGAAGCACTTGACACGCTTTCTTTAAACCCTTTGTCCTGGGTATGTCGTCAGCTGATTTTGCTTCTTTCCTGCGACAGATCCACAGGGCAACGGCCACCATTATTGAACCCACAGGAGAATCGGACAACCCACTGCGCTTCACATCAGGATTAGTCGTAGCTTTGGATGTTGATGCAACTCTGGAACATGTGCACGATCCACAGGGCACAGTTAAAATTCAGGTAATGGGGATAAGGACATAAAGGTGACATGAATGAAAAGGATAACCTTAATGGCCGACTGATGAAACCTTTAACATCATTCACGAGAGATGAGAAGCAAAAGGGGACAGAAATTGAGCCAGGATCTTAAATTCAACCTTTCCGTGACTAGCATTTAAGGAGAAAACTGTTATAGTAACTACAGCAAGGAAACAGAAGGGAGCAACCAAAAAAATAAGGGAAAAACGAGACGTCTGTTCTATAAGGCCAAAGAAATCAAAGGGAAATCCAAATCGAGGTTAAGGATGCTGAAAGATTAACAGGGGGTTATTTTATCTGATCAAAACAACATAAATAGAAGATCAAAACAATGCTGGGGCCAAAATCTTGATGCTTCATGTAGAAAATCCATTAGAGTAGGCCCATTGAATCAGTAGGGACTTGGTGAGAGCTCCTCCATCAGTTTCATTGATTCAAGTGGGTCTGTAGTGTAGTAACTCATCATTAGAGTAGGTCCATTTAAATCAGCGGAGTGGATTCAATGAATCCCCATTGATTCAGTGAACCTGCTCTAGTGCAAGAATTGATATTCTAAGCAACAGGATTTGGCCATTGAAGAGCTATATAGAAGACATGCACACTGCCTTTGGTGAATAATCAGCAATTTTGGAAAGTGAAGTGAATGCTACTCTGAGAGCATTTGGCAGAAAGAAATCACCAGGAGTAGCTGAAGTACCAGCAGAATGATTCTAATTTACGAAAATTGATTCTGTTTCATTCCTAAATAGAATATGTGAAGAAATATAGAAAATAAGACTGGAAACACGAAATATACCTTACACTCCCTAAGAAAGGAGATGCCAAGAAGTGCAGTTAATTTTAGGACGCTTACATTAATTTCCCATTCAAGCAAAGTAACAGTCAAGATTTAAGTCACGGCATCAGGGACAATGATTTTTCAGAAATTAAACATTTCTGATTTCTCCCCTGAATGTCCCAAGGCTCCCATGAAATCTCTTTCATTCTCTGAAAGCTGTTGGGAGCAATGGAATGGGAAGATGAAGTCTTTAATTACTGAAATTCACCAGTATACATTTATTCTGCTGGCAGCTGTTTTCAGTAATTAAAGACAACCCCCTCTTCCTGCAACCCTCAGTGGCTTCCCCAGAATGTACGTGATTATATGGATTTTTTGGGACATTCAGAGGAGAAATTGAAAAAATCACAGCTGATGACTTCACCAGCCTTATGCAGTGTAGCTTCTGCAACAGGATTTCAGCCCTTCATTTCCAGCTCTGTTGTCTTTTCCTAAGTCATTCTGCTAAAAAGCCAACAGTTCTGTTTGCTCAGCATCTCTTTTTTTTCCTACTGCCTTGCTCTGATCCACTGGAACTTGTACCCTCTATCAAGGAATTTCTCTGGCTACCGCCCCCCCAGAACTGAAGAATTGTAACTGTTTTCTTCCAGGTTCTGTATCCTGACGGTCAGGCCCAGGTGATCCACCCTAAGCCAGCAGACTTCAGAAATCCTGGGCCCGGAAGGCATCGGCTAATCACTCAGGTTTACCTCTCGCATACTGCCTGGACAGGTAAGGGAGACCTCGGCTTCTGGACACCTTTTTTTTTCACAGTGGGAAAATCCACACCGTGTAGGTTTCAAAGTTTTAGCCATGTTAGTCTGTGCTAACGTTTAAACAATGTAGGTTTCCTTTAAGCATTTTTTTAACTAGCTTGGGAAATAAATCTGTGATTTCTTTCAGCAGTGGAAGGCGATAAAAGGCAGGCAAAAGCCACCATCACCACCTCCTGCAAAAGACACAGATAAATCATTTATTGACAGCTTTAGCCTCCAAGAAAAGCTGCCTTCATTAAGGGAGGGAAAAATGTTAGACACATTTCCAGGTATTATCAGCAGGGTAATATGAATAGCCCAAAGGAAGGGCTTGAGTGTTAGCAATTATGTACCAGACTATATCCCTGTTTCTTTCTCCACTTTGTTTTGTAACCACAACAAAGATTTCGCAAGCAATCCTCATTATAAAGTGAAAAAAAAGGCAAAAGAGCAGCCGTGTCCAGGAATGTAATTTCATTTTAGTTTTATTCTCTAACACTTAAGATCTCCTCCCTGAGGACATTTTTTTATATTATTCATGTACCATAAGGCTGTGTTTCTTTCGTTATAATTGGAACCTAAATCTAATTGGTAGGTCCCGCTACTAGTAATCATCCTGGGCTGTCAAGTCAATTTGACTTATGGGAGACCGTTTTCAGGGTTTTCCCAGGTAGACAATACTCAAAAGTAGTTTACTCTTCCCTTCTTCTGGGACTCCGCAGCTTGCCCAAGGCCATACAGGCTGGCTCTATACTCACAGGAAGCACAGTTTTAAGTTGCTAGTGTCTGTTAGAAATGTTCATACTCCTTTCCAAGCCACACTAGACATTTCCTAGAATCATGAAGTTTGAAAGGGCCTGTCAGTCTGTCATATCCAACCCCCATTCAGTGCAGGACTCCAGCTGAAAATATATCCGCCAGATGGCCGTTTAGCTTGCTTTTGAATGTATATGCATTGGAGGGCTTACTACTTCTTGAGGCAGTTGGTTCTATTGTTGTACTGCTCTAACAACTGGGAAGTTTGAAGACTTGTAAGACACTGCTGATTTCTGTTTTTGGAGATTTGTTAAATAATTTGGTGTATGAAACAGCTATCCTACTTTATTTTAATTTTAAAAGAGGACTCAAAAGTGGCTTACAATGGAAAACAAATTAATACCCACCAAAATTAGGATAACCAAAATCTAATGTAATATATTACATGGTGATTACTTAGTCATCAGCAGAATCACAGAATGCACATTCAGAGTTCAAAGTATAAGAGCACTGTCAATACGTTTATCTGTCTCTTATTAGAAACTTACTCAATACGTTTATCTGTCTCTTATTAGAAATTTACTGGAATAGATTACGTAGATTAGGCATCCTTCAGTCTCGAGGGACTAAAATAACGTGCTCTGAATGGAGGTCTTGGAACAGCGTCTAGTGTGGCTGAGAAGACCAATTCGAGAAGTGTGGGTGAGAAGACCAATCCCTTCCACACTGAAGACAAATACAATCTGTCCCCTGTCTAGCTCCCTGATTTTGCTGCTTTCGGGACTGCCTCTTTGCCTCGGCCTGCTGGACAAGGGTCTCTTCAGCCTCCAGGCTGAACACTCAGAGATCAAGGTTTCCCATCTGTTGAGGTCCATTCCTAAGCCCTTCAGATCCCACTTGCATGAAATAACCATGTTTTGATATGGCATTAAATGGTAAACAAAAACAGGGTAGATCAGCTCCTGGGGTAGGGGAGCATCCAAAAGTGTCAGAGCCATAACTAAATCGGCCCTGTGCATTACCCATCTAACTTGGGGAAGCATGTTGTGTGTTGTCCGGAGTGTGTGGGAAAACATTCATTAAGAAGACAGTCTCAAAAGTTAAACCAAAAACTCTGGCTTTCTTCATTACTCTGCATACTCCCCTCCTCGCAAAATTTCAGAGTTTGGAGAGAAGTGCCCATGTATGCTGGCTTGGGGGTTTGGGAGTTGTAGTCCAGGACTTTACTTTTCCAAGGTTTGCAAAAGAAACCCCTAGATAAGCAAGAACAGGAATGATGGCAAGTCCTAAGCTAGTATGTGCTGGTTGGCAGGATGTAGAGTCTTGTTTTAAGTATGTTCCGCTTCCTCTGAGTTCTGTGCAAATGCATCACTCTCTTTCTTTCCTTGTGCCCAATCAAGTCTCCATTGGGTTACCCCTTCAGGAGGGCGTCATTGAGTCAGTCCACGTTGGCCTGGCTTTCCTTCAACATCCTAGTTAGCCACAAGCATCTTTGTTTCCATGTCACCTTGTCAGTGGAATTCCATGATTTGCGCAGTAGCAAAAATGGTCACCTCTCATAAAATCATAGAATCACTGAGTTGGAAGGGGCCTATGAGGCCATCGTGTCCAACCCCCTGCTCAATGCAGGAATCCAAATCAAAGCAGATCAGACAGATGACGGTCCAATTTTCTCTTGAATACCTCCAGCGTTTAGAGCACTTGCCACTTCCCAAGGTCATGAGTTCCCTTGTTGTACTGCTGAAACAGTTAAGACGTTTTTTCCCTTAATTCAGCTGAAATCTGGCTTCCTGTAACTTGACCCTGTTGTTGTGTGTTCTGCATTCTGGAATGATCGAGAAGGGATCCACCTCCCTCCTTTGTATGACAGCCTTGAATTTCAAAAAATGCTCTCCTCTCTCCCCTCGGTCTTCTAAACATGCCCAGTTCTTGCTGTCTTTCCTCAAAGAGCTGTTTTCTCTTTTCCTCCCCCCCTTAGAGCCTTGTCAGATTGAAGTTCGGCTGTTGCTGGCATACAGCTCGGATCGACACAAAGCAGCCACCAGATCTCCGCGGTCTGCCTGGGGAGACAGCATGGAGCTTCTCCCACAGTCGGAGAACGGCATCGAAGGAACTCTCCCTTTCAGCAAGCCAGTCAAAGTCTACATCATGCCCAAGCCTGCCAGACGATGAGCCTTGTAATGGGGAAAAAAAACTCTCTTTTTTTTGCTCATTATGGGACTTCTGGGAAGTGACTGGAGACACAGAAAACTAACATGGGACGTGCTTTTAGGAGACTGCACTGGGAGTTTACAGTGTAGATCCCTTCCCATTTTACGTTTCAGCAGCTTTCTCTGAGAGAACATGGCAAAGTTATTATTATGGGCTTTAGCAAGTGTGCAAATACCTCTGGTTGAATCAACCAAAAGACTGGCTTCCCAACCTTCTCTGCTTACTCATCATCTGAGCTGCTTCTTGAACTTGGAGGCTCATTGGCTGGTTAGTACGAAGGATCTGTAGCCCAACTAAAACCCTTACTGTTCCACTACCTCCATAGTCCACGAAGCCACAGGCCTCTGGTTGGGAGAGGAGGCACTAGCTAGAATGATGATGTCAGCAGTAGATGTTGGCCGGAGGCTTTGGACCTTCTCCTCTTGGACCAGGAGTGGGTAGACCGAAGGCCAGTTTCTACTTTTGCCGGCTGCCTAAAGGTCACCAGTGCATCCTCTCCGCTGTTTTTCAGGGTTTTTTTTACAGCTGTTCTGCATTTATTTGCAGTCAGGAACCAGGAAGTAACTCTTGCCTGGTGATGACTTCCCAAATCCATTGATGTTATTAAAGTCTGGAAATAGCACTTTGACACAAAAATGAAAGCTGTAAACAATGTTTAACCACTAGAGAAGCTGAAATAAATATAAAATTGTTGCAGAGGTGCAAGGAAATTGACCAGGAAGCTTCACTACCTTCTCCGCACACTTTAAAAAAGGTGTTGGGGAAGAGCCACATGATCCCCATCCTCAAGGTATTCTGGAGTCTTGAATGCAAGGGTGTGAAGGAAACGGTGGGATTGTGGCTTGATTATTCCTGGCCACAGGCCATATCGGCTGGGGATGGTGGGATTTCGGGGTCCAAGTGCATCCAGAGAACCGCATTGCTCTCAGTCCTGCTTTACCTGGAGACATCAAAGGTAGGCAGTAAAACAGAGACTGGTTGTTGTGGGTTTTTCGGGCTCTTCGGCCGTGTTCTGAAGGTTGTTCTTCCTAACGTTTCGTCAGTCTCTGTGGCCAACATCTTCAGAGGACTGGAGTAGCACAGAATGCTGGCCACAGAGACTGGCGAAACATCAGGAAGAACAACCTTCAGAACATGGCCAAAGAGCCCAAAAAACCCACAACAACCATTAGATCCCGGCCGTGAAAGCCTCTGCGAATACATAAAACTGAGATTGATTCATCCCGGTCTTATGAAGTGTTAGTAATAGCCAATAATATGTATGGTTTACATATTCTCTGCTTCATGGATTCACTTGGGAGACCCAAGTGAGAATGGTGAAGGTCCAGCAGCTGCCACTTACATTTGCCTACCCAAAAGCTGTACCAAGCTGCAAGTAAGAGGCAGTTACTGTAGCTCAGTGCTGTACTAACTTTCCCAGCCACCCAATGACCTCCCTGTACACAGAAAATCCAGGTCGCCGAGTTCTTATTCTAATAAAAGAACTGAGATGCTGCAGAGCTTGGTCGTGTTTTCTTTGAGAGCTTTTCGTACTTTTATTGTCTAACAGGATAAAAGTATTGGGCACAGTTAAGAGATGATTGTCTCTGGAAAATAAATGCTTTTAAACCTGTAGCTTCCATTTGTGGTCTGGGACTCGCTGTGTATGTTGCAGGAACCTGCCATTAGCCCAACATCCCATTTTAGTCAACGTCTGATAAAGACAGAAGGCTGTGTGTGCGGTGTTCAGAAGGGAGATTTTCTTACCTTTGGCTGCTTGCCATCTGAATCACTCTTAATATTTTTGAGAACCGCTCCCAATCTCAAAGTGTTGCCGTGGCCTCCCCTGAATTTGTGGCAGCCGGCGAAACGTAAACATGTGATGTCAGCCGGTCTCCTAAGTGGTACAGGCCGTTGTCCGAGCCACACTGTGTGATCTAACATTGTAATCCTGGCTCTTTCATCATCATGTGATTAGAGATGGGCACGAACCTCGATTCAGTGGTTCGTGCCACTTTGTACGCACTGCGCCACAGGGGTCGTGCATTCCCTTCTCCCGCCTCTCCAGCCAGTGACCCACTCACCAGTTGGGAGCATGCTCCTCTCTTCCTCCTCTTCAGTTGTTTTACTGTTCTCTGGCAGAAGCACATGGGGCTTGCCTGTCCTGCCTTGTCTGTTGGGTCATCAGCCAAGGAAGCAAGGCAGAGAAGCCTGTGCACCTGCCGGAGACTCGTCGAACCACTGAAGAGAGGGGAGAGTGTGCCAGCTGGTGAGTGGAGGATCCAACCAAGGACGCATCGGAAGGGGACATGCAACACCTGTGGTGCCATGCATATAAACTGGCACGAACCTCCAAACCAAGGTCCGTGCCCATCTCTAGTTGTGATTTTCTTCTATCTGCACTTTACTCTCCATAAGCAGATGTGACAGAGGGGAGACTTGACTGCTTTGTGGAAGGCCACTGAATCCATCCATGAATTTATTCATAAGATCTCTCAATTGCCTTACCTGAGTATCTTACCGAAAAAGTATAGAGGGGAAAACGGACAACATTTCTTACATATATATCCCTAGGGCAGGGACCCTGCATACTATTAAGATCTCAGTCCTGGATTTGGGGGTTCACAGAGTTTCTCTTAACCAAGGAAGTGATATGGACCTGTTTAAAGATGATAGCTATATGTGGGCAGTGGTTCCCCCCCATGTCAAAAACGAAACATACATCTGGAACAGATTTTTTTAAAATTTTATTTATTGAATCACAAACTTTTCGCAAGAAAATACACTTTCCGTTGTGTGTTTTCTACAATAAAATGGCAGGCGGGGTGGGAGGGAAACCATGTCTTGCTTATTTTCCATCTCACTTCTTTCTGAATACCAGCTAGCATGAGTGTGGGGCATAGCCCTGAGTTGCTAGTGTGCTGATCGCTTGGCGCGCTCAACGGGCTCCAACAGCGATTTAGAATGAATAAAAACAGAACCGGCACACCTCTGCCCGGTCTGAGAGGACCCAACATGGCGATTCCTCTAGAGTTTTTTTCCCTTTGTTTTTGCACGGCGAGAGGGGAAATAGAGTCTAGAGAGCGGGCCCCTCTGTGTGTGTGTGTGTTTGTGTAAGTGAGAGAGAAAAGTCTCCTGTCTCTCTCTGTGCTTGCCACCTCCCACACACTCTGCTGCACAGAGATAAGCTGTATTCAGCAAGGCGTATTAGCTCGGCAGGCACCGGAGTGGATATTCCTGGCTCAAGGCCCAGACACAGCTCTGCACTGTAATAGCGTTGGCCCGGCCAGCTCTGTGCTGTCTGATGTGACAGTAGATTTCTCTCTTGTTGTGGGGTGTAATGGATAATAGAGCCAGAGGAACGAGAGAGGCGGTTTTGACTGATTTTACGTTGGATCTGTGCAGCCCATCTGGAGGGGAGAAGCAATGTCATCAGGCAGCTTGTCGGGGAAGGCTATATTCTAGCCTAAGAGTGAATGGTCTTGCTTAAAACTCACTATTCAAACCAGGGCTTCTTGCATTTAAGTGTTTCAGAATAATACTGGGTTGTTTCATGGAAAGTTAATCAAGGTTGATTGTTTCACCCGGGGCACCATAAAGGGCGAAATGAGTCACCAGGGCCAACTCCCCTGGGTTGGCAGAGAGACCAGCAACCAGCTGGTCCTTCCCCCTCATCAGTTAACAATTAAGCCGGTCATCACAAAAATTCAGTAACGAAGAGAATTTGCGCTATAGTTTTACTTATTTTCTTTCTGTCGTTTCTCTTTGCTTGGCGGCTGAGTTTATATTTCTTAAATATGTGCACAAAGCTTAGTAAGTTCCACGTGGTTTAAAAGCAATTAGCAGAATTATGCAGCTTTCAAAAGGCTGAGAACGGCTTAGTTTCCACCTCTGATTTCTTTTTCTTCTCTCCTCCCTGTCTGTTTCTCACTACTCTTTCTTTCGTTCTGGTGCTCATTCCTTGCAGAAAATTTTCCTTCTGCTGACTCTACTTCTCCCAATCAACTTACTATGCAGAAAGACATTTCCCCCCTCTTTTAACTGTTTGAATAAATCAGTGACCCTGGGAAAAAAAGAACATTTTTCCACAGGACTGCCTAGCGGTCTTGTGGAAAAATAAGCATTTCAGATCTGACTGTACCTCTCGTCCTTAAATAAAGTCAGGGATACCTGCCCCCTAGTGACTGAAAATGTAACTGCATATATTGGCAAATTGTTAACTAAAATAAAGGAACAAAACCACCTCAAGGTACATTCCTCTGGAGTCTTCTTAGCCCCCATGGAAGTCCCTGGAGTTTGTTTGATCACCTTGAAGCCATAACACAGACCAAGCATTGTTCCCTATTATAGATGGTAACAAAACTACCGATAGGCTAAGCAGTCTTTTTCTCTAGACAGGGTATTCTGATAACAATCTGCAAGACGATTCTTTTTTCTTTGTGCTATATTTCTGTAGATGCTCCTATGAGATGCTTTTAACATAAAAAATAGGATGTCGTTAAGACAGATTGTGTGAGGCAGCCACAAAAAGGTCTGGAATACATTTTGAAAGAATAAGGTTACAGTGTTAGGTGCTTCCTTCCTCTACGATCCTTGAGGTGGATGCGATGCCGATTCTTCTTTCTATCGGCATATGAGTGAGCACGCATGTTATTGTGGATAATTCCAGAGGGGTAGCCTTGTTAGAAGACTGCAGCAGAAGCAACACGGGCGTCTTGTGTCCCCTTAATTTATTTTTCATCGCCATTAGGTGAAACCTCATCCACAGTGTGACAAAATCTCATTGAAATCAAGGAGATGAGAATGCTCCTGGGGGTGTGGTACTACAGGATCATAGATTCCCTTCCAACCTCGTAACATCCAAATCATTGGACTGTTAATTTTTGTTGGATCTCACAGGCCTGCTGTGCTACTTGCAGGCGGTTTTATTTCTGAGTTTTTTTCCCCAAAACATGGCATAAGCTGAGAAACACAGACTCCACGCACCGATCCAAAGCAACGCTTTCATTCAGCCTTTCAGCCTAAGGCACGAGGTGGTGGAAAATGGGAGCCATCCATAAATGCTCTAACAAGTGGAATGGAAGACGCCACCCACTTTAGCCCCTTGGGCCGCTAGTGCGTTGTACTCCTTGACGGCCATCTCTGTCTGCAAGACCAGCACATCGATCCCGTGTTTCTTAAGGTAGTCCACGGTGGATGACGGCACCTTAAGAGAAGCAGGAAGAGAAAACAGCTGGGGCTAAAATCCAAGCACTAGCAGCAAGAGCCAGAGTCATTGAATAGTAGGATTTCTTGATTCAGGCCAGTGGCTCAATGACAGGGAGCAGCAACTAGATTTACTATGGAGCTGTAAAAAGATTCTCCTTGTATATCTTCAGCATGATCAGAGCTTTATTTATTAAAATATGACCAGACCGCCTCTGCATCCATGGAGCACACTCAACATGGTTTAGCCCTCTCTGAAAACAGATGATGTCTCTGTTGAACAATCCACCACAAATCAGATGATTTTTAGACTTTACATCCAAGAGCAAATGTCCTAGCAAAATCCACCATGCCATGAACATCTAAATTCTTAACACTGGTACAGTCCTGATGAAGTGGGGTTTTAACCAAAAAAAAGCTCATAGATTGTGTGATTATTTTTAGTGGTCTATAAAGGTATCTGGGAGGTAGTGGAAGACAGGAGGGCCTGGCGTGCTCTGGTCCATGGAGTCACGAAGAGTGGGACATGACTGACCGACTAAACAACAACATAAAGGTATTGCCTTCGTATTTTAACCACACAGCTACCTGTTACTTCAATGGAACAGGTGCCGTGAGACAGAAACCTTTCTAACTCAGGGTTTGGGGTCTCACATTGGCCTCTGCAGAATTCTTTGGGATCTGATAGACTGCTAATGGGTGGGGACTACCACACACTTGACTGTGGGAAGGGGGTTTTATCGACCTCCAGCATTGCTGACTATCGGCAGGTTTAATTTCATCTCTCAGTGATCCTAATACAAGGAAATGAGGCACCTAAATATGAACTTTCACCACCTACTATTAGTTCCAGAAAACTGCTATCAAAGAACACCTGCCTCACTTCTCTAACTTCAATGTGCGAGGGCAAGAAACTGCCAAATTCTTCCCCTTGCTAGTGAGGAATTTCCTGGAACTCTCAACAGAGTTCTTGCATTGATAAGAATAATGTTGCACATAAATCTGCCAGTCTTTTGCACAAAATTAGGCAACGGCACATTTTGGCTCAGAGATAGGACGCCTACTGATTAGAGAAGCTGAAGCATTGAATGGGTTGCTTGTGTTCTTTACAATAAGCCAGGGATTCTATGCTTGTTCCGGGAGGGGAAAACGAGCACTCCGTCTTCCTCTCAGGTGCCAGCAAGCAATCCTGCATAGCTTTAAAATTCAGATGTGCCCTGTGAGGAGACAGCCTAAACTGATAAAAACAAAAAATTTAGCAAGTCTATTCCCCCCCCCCCCTATCACAGTTTGTTCATCATTGTTTGTTCAAATCCAGAATGTTCTGTGTTTAGTCGTTTAGTCGTGTCCGACACTTCGTGACCCCATGGACCAGAGCACGCCAGGCCCTCCTGTCTTCTACTGCCTCCTGGAGTTGTGTGAGGTTCATGTTGGTTGCTTCGCAGACACTGTCCAGCCATCTCATCCTCGGTCGTCCCCTTCTCCACTTGCCATCTCACCTTCCTAACATCAAGCCAGAAATCCCGGCCTGTATAGGTGGCGGTGAAGGCTTCTGGGAGCTGTAGTCCAGGAACATCTGGAGGCCCAAGGTTGGGGACCACTGCTTTATAGGATGCTGTGAATCCATCAGCAGAGAACAAGACATAAAGGCTGCCATTTTGTACCTCCCTATCCGTGAGCACATTAGTTCTACCTCTCATGCTAAAGGATAGGAAGATTAATTCTTGCCTAACCTAGAAATTGTAGGAAAATTACAGGAACATTACTCTGTGAATCTCTCTGTGGTATTTTCCCCAGCAATGTGAAAATATCAGTTCTTTCTAAGTCCAGTTATGAGAATGCTTAATACTGTAGATGGCTTAAAGTTTAATAAGGAAAAAGATCTGTTCAACACTTTCCTACGGTATGGTGTATGAGAAAGAATCAGAAAACTTTAGAAAATCTGTATCATATAATCTAGATTTTCACTCGTTGAGTATTGTGTCTAGGAGGGTCAATTTCGTAACAAATTTATTTGGAGGGATGATCCACAAACACTTATTTCTAAAAAAGTACTTTACCAAAAATCTGCTTTGAGATTTTAACAGCCACATGAGACAGGTATAAGAAATTGTGCAAATGTATAAGCCATATAGGAGATCCAAAGGGAAAATCGCCCCAGAGGGAGACCACAGCTGCGATACAAGGATATCTGCAAGCGGGATCTGAAGGCCTTAGGAATAGACCTCAACAGATGGGAAACTCTGACATCTGATCGTTCAGCCTGGAGGCAGGCGGTACATCACGGCCGCTCCCAATTTGAAGAGACCCTTGTCCAGCAGGCCGAGGCAAAGAGGAAGTCACAAAGGAAGCAAAACCAGGGAACTGGACAGGGGACAGATTGGATTTGTCTTCAGTGTGGAAGAGATTGTAACTCTCGAATTGGCCTCCTCAGCCACACTAGACGCTGTTCCAAGTCCTCCATACAGAGCACGCTACCATAGTCTTTCGAGACTGAAGGATGCCTACTATGAATAATTTTTTAAAAACAGATCTTTCTGTACACAGGGATAGCATTGTGTGTATACGCCCGAGCTATGTAGGACTTAACAGTTGCTTAGTTTTCATTTTTCCATATGGCAAAATGGTCACCTCTCATAGAATTGGAAGGGCCTATAAGGCCATTTGAGTCCAACCCCCTGCTCAAGGCTGGAATCTAAATCAAAGCAGATCTGACAGATAATTGCCCAATTTTCTCTTGAACAGCATTGGAGTCCTCAACACCTCCTGAGGTCATGGGGTCCCTTGTCCTACTGCTCTAACATCAGTTTTTCCTGATGTTCAGCCTAAATCTGCCTTCCTGTAGATTGCGCCCATTGCTATGTGCCCTGCACTCTGGGAAGATCGAGAACAGATCCTGCCCCTCCTCTGTAGGACTACCTTTCAAGTATTTGAAAAGTGCTATCCTATCTCCCTTTGGTCTTCTTTTCTTAAGGCTAAACATGCAGTCTTTCCTCACAGGGCTTGGTTTCCAGCCCCCTGATCATCATCCTTGCCGCCCTCCTCTGAACTTGCTCCAATTTGTTAGCCTCCTTCTTGAAGTGAAGCATCCAAAACTGGACACAAGACTCTAGATGTGACCTAACCACTGTGGAATAGAGAGGGAAAAGTAACTCACGAGAGGTGGAGAGTAATCTTCTGTTAATGCATCCCAAAATTGCATTGGCCGCCTCCTATAATCTAGGCCACAGCTCTCCCTTCCTCCATGTGACATTATTCACAACATGGCTATAACCAGGGAGCTTCTACCCTGGCCATACAGTCAAATGTGCTTATTCTCCCCTCACACAGTTCACTTTTTAGAAGCTGAGAACCAAAGCACTCACATTGGTACCTGTTTCTCGCCAGTCCCAGGTTCTGCTGCCTCCTGGCCACACCTTGCAGTCTTTATACGTGGTGGAACAGCCTTTGACCGTCATCCGGCCCCAGGAAAGGGAAGCGATTTCAGGAGAAGACATTCTCAGATGGAGTTCAGAGGTCTACAAAAGAAGAGGAAACCTTCCCCCACCCCACAACCCCAACAAGTTAAGGCAGTGGGAGTTCTTAGTGACTGAAACATTATACAAAGAGATACAGTTGGTTGTTCTGGGTTTTTCGGGCTCTTTGGCCGTGTTCTGAAGGTTGTTCTTCCTGA